TTAATTTAATAATTTAGAGCAGCTCGAGGTTGTTCGTGGTGCTGCCAGGTGATGGGTGGCACTGGGGGTCCCCTCTGATGCGTTTCTCCCCCCACCACCACTTCTCTGCAGCTCAACCACGACCTCTACGAGGTGATGAGCAAACTGGACAAGCAGCACTCCAGCAAAGTCTTCATCATTAAAGGTGTCCCCAGGTAAACGAGCGGGCTACCTCCGGCAGGGTGGGGGGCTTCAAGCCGCCGAATCGCCCCCCCCCCAGCCCAAAAAGCAGCAGGGTGATGCAGCCCCGAGTCCTATAGTCCTGGGATGGGTGAGCATCTCCCAATGCCGGGTTGAGGGTGCTTTGGTGGTGCTGGGTTAATTAATTTGGGTCATTTGCCAATCATGCCGGATTGGGGAAGCGTCACCTGCAAGCTGAGGCGCTGATGCCGCAGTGCCGTGTGTCCCCAAGGGTGATGCTTGTGGGACATGCCAGAGGGGGGCTTAACCCCCTCTGTCATCCCCCCACACAGCAACCGGCGCTCACTGGTCATCTCCTCGCCGGTGAGCCCCCCGGCCATGTTCCCCTGCCCGGAGAAGGTGCCAGACTGGCAGCCCATGGTGGAAGCGGAGGCGACGGTGGGGTCCCCCGTGGTGGGCAGCAGTGCCACCGATGCCATCTCCAACGGGGAGCTGGGTGCTGCCGTCCCTGGCCCACCACCGGCTTCACCCGCCAGCGGTGCGTCCCTGTCGGAGACAGCATCAGTCTCCAGCGAGGAGGCTCCAGAGCCTGGCCACAGTCCCGAAGCTCTGTCCCATGAGCAGGGGACATCGGTGGCAGCTGTGGAGCCGGGCACCGACTCCCTCAGGCTCACTGAAAGCCAGGGTCTGGAGCCAGCAGGGGCTGCCAGCAGGGCGCAGGTGGGGACCGAGGGCATCGCCACCTCCTTGGCGTCGCTGATTTTATCCGAGGCGATTGCCCAGGCCACCAGCACCGCACCACCGAAGCCAGAAAAAGCCGCAACTGGGCTGGGGGCGAGCAAAGCCCCGACCGCAGCAGGGGACCCCTGTCAGCCGGACGGCACGGCCACCAATGGCGAGGGGCAGGCACATCCCGGGGAGCCACCGTCCCCATCCCCGGCCGTCCCCTGCGATGCCCCCAGTCCCACGGCAGAGGCACTGGCGTGTCCATCCCCGGGCGGTGGGCAGGAGGAGCTGTGCCGGCCCGGCAGTGCCGCGGGCGAGCACAGCGACTCCGAGGAGAGCATGGAGGTGATGGACGTCGAGCCAAAGGTGGCCAAAACTCAGGTGAGAAAGTTCTGGTGCTGGAAGGGGAGATGTCGTGGTGGGGGGCCACATCCGTGCCCCGTGATGGCAGGGGGATGCCCGGCTTGTTCGGAGACCCAAACTGTGCTGGGGGGTATCCGGTGGGGGACACAGGGCTCGGGGGGGTCCATGGGACAAATCCAGCCCAGTGCGACGCTCCTCTGCTGGCAGATGGGGCTGGATCTGACTCTCAACGCGGTGTCAAGCGGCTGCACCGGGGATGGCGGTTCACCCTCTGGCTCCCCAACCAAGGTGGGTGCGGTGGCGCTGCAGGGGGACACGGACTCGGTCCTTCTTGGGTTGAAGCACGAGGTCTCCATCCCACCCGGCTCGGCATCACCTCCGCGTCTCTCTCAGGAGCAAGGCTGTCCCGGGACGCCGCAGCAGGACGCGAGCCAGGACATGAGCCGGGACCCCCCACCAGCAGCAAATCCCTGCCAGGACCCCCCCGAGACCCTCACCTCCCTGTGAGCCCGGCGCCCGGCGCAGGAAACAGGCGTCTTACGGTGCTGCCGGCAGATAACTGTTTCACCGTAACCGTAACGCGCTTCCCACCCCCCATCCCGTCTGAAATAAAGGCAGAGGGCAGAAAAGGTGGCGAGAGGAGGGTGAAGATGCCGGCGAGGGCCAAATCTCCATCCTGCAAAAGCCCGTCACCAGTTGGGCTGGGGGTGCCACCGCAAGCACCGGGGGGGGGTCCCCGCCTGCGGGTTTACGGCGGCCGAAGCCGGGTGTGGGAGGGATCTGTCACCTTGTTCTCCCCCAGCACCCAGCGCCGCTGTGACTCAGGAAAAAGGTGTCGAGCCGGTTTCGCCAGCTCCCGGAAACCGTGCTGCCGTGCAAAAAAAAAAAAAAAAAATACCCCCCGATTTTACCTCCCCGTCCTGCAAAATTCCCCCATATCGAAGCAAAACCCTGTTGCCAGTCGCTGCCCCGGTGCAAGAGCTTGCGTCGCCGCCCCGATGCCCGGTGATGGGCTGGCTCCCCAGAGAGCAAGGGGTTAACGGAGGAGGTATTTCTGGGTTTTTATCATCATCGCAGCCAGACTGGAAAGGTGAGGCAGGAAAAGGGCAACGCCTTTGCCTGGGCGAGACTCAGAGCCGCACATGGTGCCAGGTGCCGGCAGCCGCTCGCCCCGCCCAGATATGGCGGGCGGTGCGTGAGAAGGGATGGGGGGGGGGGGGGACAGGGGACGGACACGACACATGGCTCCGGGGGTGACTCCCAAAAATTCAGCATTCCCTGGGAGGTTTGGAGGGGTTTGGCTGCATCGGGCACGTGGATTTGCACCAGGAGGCAACAGAGTCGTGTCACGAGGGACGCTGAAGTGCGGCTGGTTTTGGGGAGAAGCCGAAACGTCAGCTCTCGGCCGGGTGTTTTCCAGTTGGATTTCAGGCGAGCAGGAAGGGAAAAGGCCTGATCCTGCTACAGCGAGAGCCAGGAAGCAGAAAACCCAGTGGGAAAGCTGAGCGGGGCGCCCGGCAGGGCGACACGTCGCTCCTGGGGGACCCATCCCGGGGTGACAGAGGAGAAATGGGGGTGAGCAGTCTGCAGGGATGGTTTGCTCAGCCCGTCCTCTGTCCACCGGGAATGGGAATGGGGGGCTGCGAAGGCGCCGCTGAGCATCCCCGACGGCAGGCTGCGCTCGATGGAGCTTTTCGGGAGCAAAGCTGCAGGGCAGGGAGGGTTTTGCTGTGGGAACAGCTCTTGAGCAACTTGGCCTGAGAGCAAGAATGAGGAAGATTATGGTTTTGTTTTTTTTTTTACACAACCCCTGCGTCGCTTTAAAAAACACATGGAGATCCATACGGATCCAGCGTGCTGGGGAAGTGAGTCACCCCCCACCTCCGTCAGCCCCCCGGCACAGCCGCTGTGGACACCCGGAGGCTGCGACCACGTGGCGGCTGGATCCTGGCCCGGCAAGGTAACCCTGGCACTGCAAAATATCCCGTGGTTTTCTGTGCCGTGTTCCCGGTTGGTTTTGGCAAGCTCCTTCCCATGATCCCAAGGTGGGAGCGGCGAGGGGGTGTCTGGGCGGACCTTCCCTCCCGTGGGGATGCAACGTGGGGAGCTTCACTTTCCTGACTGCTGGCATTTTGATGCTGAAGCAAGTCTTTCCCCCAGCTAAAATGTGGTTTAAACCTTTGGGGGGACCCAGGACTCCATTTTGCAGGTGCTGTGGGCACGAAACTGGTCTGTGTTTCCCACTGGCAATGCCGAACGCTTCCCAAGAAGCCCTCTCGCCGAGGCACCCGGGTTCCACCAGCTCCCTTTCCATCAAGGAGCACCTTTTCCTCTTTTCCCTTAAATCCCAGTCTTACGTTTGTGGGGAAATTTTTACCCATTTTTTTTGCTCCGAAGCCACCCAAACAGCGGCTGCTGCTCCGTGGGAAGGTCGTGGCTGGCTTTGGAAATCGTGTGTAGCTCCCTGACACCCGGACATCGCTGCTGGAGGAGCCCAGTGAGCTTTAAAGCAAAGCTGGGTTTAATGCAAAGCTGGTTTAAAGCAAAAGCTGGGTTTAAAGCAAGTGAGCTTTAAAGGAAAGCTGGGTTTAATGCAAAGCTGGGTTTAAAGCAAAGCTGGGTTTAAAGCAAAGCTGGGTTTAAAGCAAAGCTGGGTTTAAAGCAAAGCTGGGTTTAATGCAAAGCTGGGTTTAAAGCAAAGCTGTTTAATGAGTTGGTGGCTTGTGCCAGCCTGAGCTTGAGCCCGGGGGGAAGTTGTCGTGCTCCGGGGGAGCTGCCAGAGACTTGGGGTGCCAGCGCCCGTCCGGTGGGAGAGGGGTCCCACGCCCGTCCGTGCACGCTGCTGGGAAGGGGGAAAATTGTTTTCCCAAATTCCTGTGACTCTGTAAGCCCGAACATTTGCATCGGGTAGCGCTCAAAAGCAAAACCTGCTGTTGTAAGGGATGTTTTGCAAACACCCGACAGCGCTGTGAGTCACAAGGGCATGGTGGGACAACCAGGGCAGGGCCGGATCCTGAGAAATTCATCCCGCTTTTCAAAATCCGGGGGGTGCGCCGTCGGGGTGAGCGCCGCCCCGTCCTCGTGAGACGCATCCTGACGGCACGGCACGGCCGCACTCCCAGCTCCCCGCTCCTGGCCCACGTCCATGCTCCCGCGGTTAAATTTCCTTTTTTTAAAAAAAAAAAAAAAAAAAAATTGAATTTTATTTGCTCCTGACATCTAGCGGCACGTTTCCGCAGAGCCGCTGAGTCACTCGTGCCCGAGCGCCGGAGCCATTGCAGAACGTTTTTTTGGGGGGGGGGGGGGGATTTTTTTTGGGGGGGGGGGGGTTACAAAGGTTGTCCATCCACCTCGGGCAGAGCCGCCGAGGTCGGTTCAGCGGCTGCCGGTCCAGCTGCTTTTTTTGCAGGCGAAACCTTACGGCTGCAGCATCAACCTTGGGACGCTGATCGGAGGATTTGCAAGGATTTACAGGCAATTTGAAGCTCTCGAAGTTTGAGAGCAAACTGCGGAGTCGGTGGCTGTTTTTTCCCTACCTTCACTAGCTTCGCCGCCTTCCCGCGAGCCCGGCATGCCACAGCCCGCTCCTCTCCATCAGCCCAAATAAAACCTTTGCCTTGATTAGCGCTGCATCCCCACCGGCATCCCCGCTTCGTGGCTGTGCCCTTCGGCGTGCCGTGTGTGAATTTATCACTTTTATTCCTTTTTTTTTGGTAGTTCTGAAGGACCCCAGACCTTTACCTGGAAGGAGCTGATGCGATGGAAGGAGATCAGCCCCCTCTGACTGCAGGTGAGCACCCCAGGACAGCTTTGCCGGGCTGTTTGTCCCGTTTAATCCTCGGTGAGACCTTGCACAGTGCCACCGCGTGCCCCGTCCAGCCAAGCCTGGCTCAGCCAGGTCGGGACCAGGCTTGCTCACCTTCTCCTCTCTCCCTCTCTCCTGGTTTGATGAAGAAGAGCTGACAACCCCCTTCTTGAAGAAGGCTCACACCCCACCTCTCCATGAGGATGCCAACACCGCGGTCATCGCAGGTAGGGGCTCTCCTTGCCGGATCCACCCTATTTACCAGCTCGGTACCGACCGCTCGGGGCTAAACCCCGCTCCTCTCTCTGCCTTCTCCCTGGTAGTTGTCATCGCCCTGGTGTTCCTCACCCTGCTGACGGTCCTGGTGGTGATCATCATCTACCTGTACAGAAACAAAGGCAGCTACCTCACCTACGAGCAGCCGGCGGCAGAGACCGACGTGTCGGTGCAGATGGAGGATGCTCCATCCAAAGAGAAAGAAGAGTATTTTATCTAAGCCACCGGGCCCAGCTCACCCCTCTCCGATGCCCTCAGGTCCAAGTCGCCTAGATTTCCCGGAGCTGGGGACCTACAAGCTGCTTTTTTTTTTTTTCCCCCTTAATTTATTAAGCCAACCATGGAAAGAAAAATAAGTAGACGTGTGTCAGAGCTTTGCCCATCGCTGCCCGGAGCGGACCAAGGGCAGGGAGTACTTCAGCTCGGCGGAGGAGAGCAGGCACGGCCGCGCTCCGGCTGCCCGCACCCACCCCATCTCCTCCCTTCGGTGCTAATACAGCCCAGTGGCAAACGCTTGAAGAGTGGCTGTTGTTTTCTTTTCCCTTATCTCACAAAACAATTAAGTTATTCTGCTGCTGATTTAGGGGTGGGGTAATTAGCATGGCTCATTTGGAGGCTAAGGTTAAGCGTGCATGTAAAACAGGCTGATGGATCGTGCAAGTTACAGAAAGCCCCATTGTAGCCTACAAACCCGGGGAAGCCCGTCCCTGCCCCGAGAGGCGCCTGACCTCGGAGGGCTCGGGGAAATCAGAAGCGGAGCAGGTTTGCTTCACCCCCAGAGCCGGCTTTAGCACCGACACATAGGCTCCGGCAGGTCGAGGCACTACTTTTCCTCTGCTTTTGCTACGCGCAAAGACGGGGCGAGGAGCAGCTCCAGACATCCCTCCTCCGCTCCCTCCTCAAGGGCAGTTCCTCCTTTAAATCAAACCCCCCCAAAAGAAACCAAACCCCAGAGGAGGAAGCTCACAAAACAGCAGCAAAGAGGAAGTAAGTGAAGAAACCCTCAGGCTTGCGACGGGCAGGAGCCGAGGGGTTTTATTTGAGGTCTAATGCAAATTTGCTACTTTATTCAAATTTTCAAAATAGTCTTTATTCTACTTTTTTTTTTAGTATAAAAAAATCCACAAGTTAAGTGCACCACAGTGTATACAGAGAGACGTAATGCTGAACTTTCATAACAGTCAGTTGTATGGTTAAACACAACATATACAGGACACAGATTTAGATTAAACTGAAACCTCAAGATAAAATATATTTGAATCTGATATTTTTCTTCATAAAACAAACAAACCAAAAAAAAAAACCAAAAAAAAAAAACCCAAAACATTGAGGATCCCTGAAATATTCTTCTTAACCCTAATAAGACTTCATTATACCCAAGTCATTTTTAAAACACGCATTCATAAAACAACCCATTAACCAAGCTAATTTGTGTGTTGATTGACAGTTGCTGCACACCCTTGTACAGATGGTAACCAGCCTCTCTGCTTGAACAACAGCCTTAAGGAGTTTTGGTGTCAAGACACCAGGTTGAGTTTAAAAAAAAGGAAGTTTGTTTATTAAGCATTGTTCTAACAGCCTAGTTAGCATCGAATGAAATGTTCAAAATTGAGTTGCATTGTGTTTCTGGCACCAAAGCATGGCTTTGATTAGATCTAATGTGCAAAGAAATCCAAGATTACTTGGAGTGTATAAAAAAAAATCCCATGATACACGCCAGCTGCATACCTTCCTGGAGGAAAACGACGGGCGAATGTGAGCACGGAGTGCTTCGAGGGATCCGTTCTAGAGTGAGGTCAGGAAGAAAGAAGCGCCAAGGTGCCCTCCCCGCTGCTGGGAAGTGAAGTCTGCCTCGCCTTCTACCCAGCACCTTCGCCGAGGAAACCCGGGTGGTTTGCGGCTCTGGGTCCAGCGGACCGGTACGAGCGTGAAGGGAAGGCGAAACCAGATCCGCTCCCTCGCCCCCCCCAAAGCCAGCGTATAGGTAGCCGATTAATAAAAGCTCAGCGCTGCGGTATCACTCCAGTGTGAAACGAAAGGAAGAGGCAGGGCTGCTGAGCTCACATTCATTGCGTGAATTACTCCCCCCCTCCCCGTTTGAACAGAGGCACTGCTATCATTAACAGGGTTTCTTGTTTCGCTTTAAAGTGCACACAGGGCCGGGCACCAAACCAGGAAGACACCTCACCGCTGTGTGTCTAATCTGCAACTTCAGGTTAATATGGACTAAAGCAGTTACATCGTGAGAAGTGCTGACAGTATGTGATGTCTTTCCTTACACAAATGTAGCCCCCCCTCTCCCCCCTTCCCCTTCCTTCTTCACCAGATAGTGTAGCCGCCATCTGAGCCTCCCAGGAAGAAGTTTCCCTTCCGTTGCGTCACCAAGACGTTGGCTCCCTGCATCACGGCCAGCTGGGCGGCGTTGGGGGGACAGCCAGGAGCGGGGGGCTGGAAGACAGAGAAAGGAGAGGCGGGAGGATAGCTGAGGTCAGCGCCACGACGGGAGCCAGCACAAAGCCACCACAGCCCGCAGAAACCTCCCAACTGATGTCCCCGTCACTTGCTACCGAGCAAAGACTGAGCGACAGAGTCCAGGAGCTGATGGGAAACGCTCGGTTCCTCGTCCATGCCCTGCCCTCTCTTCGGAGCCCGCAGCCCGTACGGCAGAACCTGGCCTTTTGCCCACGCAGAGGAGCCCGTGAGCCGTAGAACAAGAGCTTCACGTGGCCACGAGCCACGGGTGGAAAGTCCAGGGGAGCAGGAACCTCCCACAGCTCCACCGCAGCATGGGAAGAGGCCAAGTCTGTGTTTGAGGCCACGGAAAGTCAGGGTCGCTAAGCAGCCCTGCTGCCTTGCCTCCCCCCGGAGCGCATTACACCACGGCCCCCAGGCCGAATCGGGGCTAGCACTGGCCACGCCATGGTTTTGCTGTGAGCCAGAACCACCTGCGAGCCTACGTGGCTCCAGAGCCACAGGTTGGCCAGAGACAGCAAACCCTCAGCAGCAAAGTAGGAGCCTACTCTTCTCCCAGATGACGGAGCGAGTAAGGAATATGTTTTTCTCAGAAAACAAAGGACATCTTCTCCCCCGCTACCATCTGCGAAGCTCTAATGCTGAAGCACGCGGGGTTTTGAGGATACATTTATACTTACAGGGATGCTGGCTGTTCCGCCAGCCCCAAACCTTGCTCCAGCATCAAAGCCACCTTCAACGAGGACTGTCGAGCCCGGGGGATAAACCGGGCCCACGGGGTAATACGCCATCGGGACCGACGAGCCGATGGGACCCACGGCCACAGACTGGGCCATGGGCAGGAAGACGGAAGCGCCCGGATACGCCGCAGACATCGTAGGTACGGTGGCAGCCCCCAGAGGCACGAAGCTGGGACGGTAAAGCTGGGAAACAAAACGCGTGCAAGCAAGTTTAGGGACCTGTTACTCCCCGCACCCCGTTGTTTATTCAGCCTTGCTGCCAAAGCGCTAGCCCCGACGCAGACTTTCACCCTCCTGCTTGCACAAGGGAATCCCCTTCCCCGAGCGTTTACTTCGGGGTATGGTAAAAGGACATTTTTCCCCCTGCTGGAGACAGTTTTCCCCCACTGCCCGCAAGAATCCAACTAAGAGAGATTACGGAAGATGTGTTTTACAGCCACAGGCGAGCTCAATTTGTCATCTTGACTCAAGGGGAAGCTTTGAACGTTTGTCACTTTGAGTGGCTGATTCAGATCTCGGAAGAGAGAATCAGGGGACCGACCGCTGCCCAGTGATACGAGCGGCAAACAAGTCCTCCAGGCAAAAAAAAAAAAAAAAAAAAGATATTGCAGCTATAAACTTATTCAGAGATTTTTTTTGGGTTTTTTTTTCCCTCTGGGAAGGGCCCCAGAAGAAAACAAAGCCTTCAGAGAAGCGTCCCGCCTACCTCGGAATACGCAGGAGGTGCATCTGTGTAGGGCGGCGGCTGCGGAAGGGGCAGAGTCTGTGGGTACACGGCGGGGTTGGCCGGGGACTGGACAGGGTAGGACGGCTGGGTGGGATATTGTCCTGCAAGAAAGAGAAGTCAGCCCGCGGCAGAAGCGAAGGCAGGCAGGACGCCGGCGAGTTGGTTTTGGTTTGGGTTTTTTTTTTTTTTTTCATTTTGGAAAGCCCCGTTTCTTAATTATCACGTGAGCAGAAGGGAGTATCAGCCGTAGGAGCGTCTGCGCACCATTACCTCGCAGTTACTGCCCGGGGTGATCGGCCGCCCCGTCCCCGCCGAGCACAGCCGGCCGTCCCTGCCCAGGACTTCGGCACTTCAGTCCGCAGCGAAAACAAAACCGAGAGTTAAAATATCCTTTGCCAGAACGGGGAGCAACGAGGAGGCGGGAAGCCCAGCAAAGCACAAAAAAATAGTAATAATAAACCAAATTATTCTGGGTCGTAGCCAGCGCTCAGACTCGCAAATTCTTAAACCGAAACCAAAACAAACCAGACGCGATACCTGCCCCCCTGCCCCGGGGCCTCCCGCGGTTTTGGGGGGCAAAGGCGAGGCGGCGTTGGGGCGAGGGTTCTCCCACATCCCCCCGACGCGGCGGCGGGAGCGGGCCCATCTCCCGGCCGTGCTGGGTGGAAATCTCCTCTGCTCCGACGAAGCCGAGGGGGTTTACCGAGCTCCGAATTCGGCCCCTTCCTCGGGGATCGGGACAGGCCGCTGGGGTCCCCCCCGGCCCCCCGCGCTGC